ACTCCACTTTCATACTTATCAATGATCTCTTTCTTCATCTCTATAGTAATTCTCACCCTTATTCCTGTAGGGTTGGCACTAGAAGCTTTCTTGGGGCCCATGGTCACTTATTTTGCAGATAAAATCACAAGAAACACTGTAATAATACGAAATGTTCCGATTGTATGCCTGGATGTTACCGCGGAGGCTGGCTGGTAAACAATGCCACCGGCGGAACATGTGAGGCTGGCTAAGGGTGCACATTAGACGTGTCTCGGACGAACAGCATTGAGCGGGTTTTTTAGCGATATGCGAGGCAAAATCTTGGCGATAAAATGTAGCGGTATGCGGATTTAACGTTATGTGATGCCAACGGTATGCGGGGGTCCACTGTATTTTAAATTCATAAATTCCCTTCCAAATCTTTAAAACTGGAGTCTTCACCTTTCTTTTAACTTGATACAAGTTATTTATTGTTAACAGAAACCAACCTCATATTATTAACCCCTTGATTGTCACAACCCCCAATCCTGAGGTGTCTCCTGGTGTTGCAAAATTTAAAAAAAAAAAAAAAAAAAAAAATCTTATGAAATGATAGAGAATCTTTTCCCAATTGTAATGACACCAAAAAGAACGAAATTTGATGGAAAACTGATGGAATTACGCTCTCGCGAAGTTAGCGACCTTGGCAATATTTACAAATCGGCGATTTCACCCACTTTGAGCCCTATTTTCGGCTAATTCCATTGTTCCAGTCAACCAAACTCATTAGCTATTTCTATAGAACTCCGTTTTTTCTATCGATTGAGTACAAGAAACTGCCCATTTACTGATTTCTACTACCCAATAACATGGTCAAAATTTGCAATTTGGCCAATTTCACGAAAATTAAAAAATATGACAATTTCAAAATAACGTCCAGAATGAACAATGAAGACATTCCTGGCTCTAAAATAACATTTTCTTTGTTCATCAGTCATGTCTCCAGGCCCCTCTGATACTACTCTTGCTTTCTATTTTGAATTTTTATTCAAGCAAAAAATAGAAGAATTACTGTTATGCAGACTACTGCAATACTGTAATAATTGTACAAATAATGTCAACCCATTCATGACTGCATATTAGAATGGCTACTTGGACATTTATTGGACAATGACATCATTTGTTTACTTTTGAACATCGGCAAAAATCAAACATTTCCCCTACTTTGAGCTCCATTTCCAGGTTCTTTTTATAGTAAAACCAATCAAAATCACCTCTATTTCTATAACATATTTTCTATTCTATCAAATGAGACCAAGAAAACGAGAATACAACCATAAATACTATATAAAAATAGACCACAAAGTCGGCATTTTAATTAAAAAAAGAAAAGGTCGGAGTTTTTTCTCATTATGCACTGCGTGCTCCAGGATTTTTTTTATATGGTGCACACTGACCACACAGACCCATTCTCTCACATGTGGGCCTACCAGCTTTCTCCTGCTTGATTTGAAGCCGCTAGAATTTATAAGTATATATACATCAAACATGGTGGCTCGTAAGACATATATATACGACCGAAACAGTCAAAGGGTTAATAACAAGAATTGCCAAATTATAATTTTCTAAACAACACATTATAAAATTTATTTAAGAAGGGTTAATCAAACTTAACTAATAAACAAATCGAGTCTTTTGTATAAAAAAAATTATTTGGAGAGTAAAAAAAATTCTTGTACTGTGTTTAGTAATGAAATTTATAACTATACTGGTACCTGCCCCCAGGAACAATTAAATTTTAATTAGGCTTTACTCTAAAATCTTAATAAGCATAAAATAATACTGAATTTTAACAAGTCATTATTCAAACTAACTTTGCTCTTTACTGGAGGACAAAATTCTCTAGTCATCTAACTTCTAAATTAGAAACTTTGTACAAAACTCTATAAAAAAAAATACCAATTTCCCAAAGTTCTCTATTCCTATTTTGAACCTTTGGATATACCAATTCCAATGAGGAAAATATTCATTCTGCACTGGCACTTGAAGTGGTTATGGTATGCAGACCATAAAAACCCTCTTTGGCATTGACATTAACTTTGAATTTTAATGCTCGAAATGCACTGCATACTAGTGGCTATTTTTTATAACTGAAAATGTTTTATTACAAATAAACTACATTATCTATGTACAGTGCAAATTAAAAAATTTGAATTTGATTAACCCATAAACAGTCCAAATGTATATACAGTGGAACCTCAAATCTCAAATGTATCGCTTATCGAACTCTTCGAAAATAGAACCCTTTTTTCGAACCAACTTTGTCCCTATTATCGAACTCGCCCCTATTTTCGAACCGCCGCATACCAGACCTGTCCGGCAGCCCGCTCTGTCCACGTTCCCACGCAGGTGCCGTGAGCCAGTCTGGTTTTGTTGATGCTTGAGTGAACACTAACCTGCGCTCTCATTCAAACATTTTACGATTATTTCATTGTGTTTAGTGCTTGTGGACTGTGAAATAAGCTACAATGGGCCCAAAGAAACTTGCTAGTGGTACCCCTTTGGTAAAGAGAGTGAGAAACACCATAGATGTGATGAAGGAAATAATACAGAAGTGGAATGATTTCCAAGCGGAATGATGTCCAAATGTTTGTGGAGAAGTACCACCCTGAGCAAGCTGAAACAAGCCATCTTTGCAACAAGTTCAGTGACAGAACCATGTCCCATTTTAGGGAAATCTTAAAGAGGCACCAGAAACAGAGAACTGTGGACAGATATTTTATGAGACAGGGGTCCAGTGACTCTCAAGCTAGTCCTCGTGGCATTAAGGCTTTACCTTAAGTCCTCATGGAGGGGGATTCTCCTTCCAAACATTAATCCCAACTCACTCTCTCTCTCCTCCTTATCTTCCAGATGCCATCAATAAAGGTAAGTAAAGTGTTATTTTACATGTTTATTTATATTTATTAATACATAATTGAACACTATATTTGTTGTGTGTATGTAAAACAATAATTAATCTCTATAAAATGTATTTTTTTTTTGTGAATATTTTTGGGTTTCTGGAACAGATTAATTGTATTTCCATTATTTCTTATGGGAAATATTGCTTCGCTTTTCAGACTTTTCGAATCTAGAACTAACTCCTGGAACGGATTAAGTTCGATATTTGAGGCTCCACTGTATACATTCTCTCCCGTAGTGCCCCAAAATTTTTGAGAAAAAAAACTGTTTTTTTAATAGGAAAAAAGAGCATATGGTACCCAGGCATCCCCAATTATTTTAATATGGCGCACAGTGAGTGCACACACCCATTCTCTCATGTCTAGGTGACTCAGGCTTATCGTGGCAATGTTGAATGCATGACAAATAAAACGTATATACAGTGGTCCCTTGTTTTTTGTAGTTCTCGGGAATCATAGATTTCGGAAATCATAGGGATATTTTCGTATAAACATGGGCTCGCTAATCATAGGTTGACTTGCGAATAGTAGTTCGTCCGGGACGCGTATGCACGGTGTGAGCCGGGGCGGCCTCCCTACCAAGCCAGTCTGGCATTGTTTACCAGTGAGCGAAGGTCCCCTCAAGTGCTCCTACGAAATATTTCATAATACATGTATTCCACTCATTTTAGTGCTTGCAAGTACTAAATAAGCTACCATGGCTCCAAAGAAAGCTCCTAGTGCCAAGCCTGTGGTAAAGAAGAGCTCACCACTGAGGAGCTGCAAGAGCTTCAGCAGGAACAGCAACAGATCGCAGCTCAGAATCTTGCTGTAGAGGGGAGGAAGAGAGATGGAAGAAGGTGCCTTCTTCAGAAATTAAAGAGATTTTTGCTATGTGGGGTAAGATGGAAAGCTTTATGGAGAAACATCACCCTGACAAGGTTGTTGCAAGCCATGTTGGCAACATGTACAGTGACAAAGTCGTGGGCCATTTTAGGGAAGTGTTAAAGAGACGCAAGAAACAGAGCTATCTCCACAGTTATTTTGCGAGACAGGACTCCAGTGACTCTCAAGGTGGTCCTAGTGGCATTAAGAAACAGAGAAGAGAAGCAACCCCAGAAAAGCAATTGGTACCTGAGGTGTTGATGGAAGGGGATTCCCCTTCCAAACTGTAAACAATCCAATCTCTCTCCTCCTCCAGTCTCCCATACACTAAGAAGAATCTCCAATAAAGGTAAGTGTTATGCTGTTAATGTTTCATTCATCATTTCCCATTGTATTGTTTATGTACTACATCTATATTTCATGTAAAAAAATTTTTTGTTTTAATACTTCTGGGAGTCAGGAACGGATTAATTGTATTTACATTATTTCTTATGGGGAAAATTGATTCGAAAATCGTAGATTTCGATAATAGTAGCAACTCCAGGAACGGATTAACTACGAAAAACGAGGGACCACTGTATACGTTTGGGGCACTAGTGGTAAAAACGTATACTATATACGTTTGGGCCGTTTACGGGTTAATATAATTTGTTTTCCAAATTTTCATGTTCACAGCATTTTTTGATGGACCAAAAATAGTAGAAATGATTGCTAAATCATCCTGAATGTAATGCTTAACAGCATATTAAAATTATAAAAGACTAAATATGCTTAAAACTTATTAAAACCAACATTCTATTAAGAACATCTTTTAAAAAGGTTTTTGGTATTTTCAAAAACAATTGAATCATTTTTGCCAATCTTGTTTGATGTACTGTTGGAGTATGAACTAGGTAGCATTTATGAAGCGATTCAAGGAAACTAATTAGCTAGGCTCAAGTCCCAGAGGTGGAAAGTACAATCTCTGCCCTCTGAAGGTGGGGTGGGGATGTTACAGTTCAGAGAGTCGACTGAATTGTGACGTTTGTAAAATTTTTGGCAAAATGACAGCTAGTGAATGAATGAATGTTACTGTTTATTGGTTCACCCACGTTAGTTAGAGACAAAGCTGAAAAAAATGTTTAGGAACTGCAAATCATCCATGAATGTGCAAACCATCCATGAATGTGCAAACCATCAAACAAGCAAGCTTATCAACCATGACTAACATACCGACATACAGGTCATCTTTGCAGCAAGAGTTTTCTCTCTCAGTGAAGACTGCACAGCCTCATCAATCCTCTGAGGATGAAGTACCATGCAAATGGACAGGAGAGTATACATCTGCTCTGTCTGTAAAGAAATAGTAATACTTAAGCATCAGTAAAGAAACAGGAACAAAGAACATGGTTAAATATTGTACTCCCAAATGAGCCACAGGGTTATCAGAAATCTGAAAGTATTTTTCAAGAAAGTATAACAAAGAAGTGCAATAAGCTAAATCACACTTCGAACTCCACAACAGGTTTTAATAATATTCATGAGCAAGCTACATCACTTCAATAAGTCGAATGGTAAGAGGTAAGACCAAGCTTTAACCCTCCACAAGCTGAAAAAAGGTAACTACACAGATTTATGGATGGAGAAATATTAACAAAATTTTTCAAAATTTGTGTGTAGCCATAATCAAAACTGGCAGTGGTAGTGATCTATCTTTCTTCTTTCTTTCAACAAAATGGCCACATCCCAATGAGGCAGGGTGACCCAAAAAGAAAAAGTCTCTCTTTTAAACTTCAGTAATGTATACAGGAGAAGGGGTTACTGGTCTTGCTCCCAGCATTTTAGTGGCCTTTTACGACACACATGACTTATGGAGAAAGAATTCTGTTCCACTTCCCCAAGGAGATAAGAGGAAATAAACAAGAACAAAAACAAATGACAAGAAAATAGAAGAAAACCCAGAAGGGTGTGTACATATACGTATGCTTGTATACGTACGGGTAATGTGACCTAAGTAGTATAAGTAGAAGTAGCAAGATGTACCTGAAATCTTGTATGTTTATGAGACAGAAAAAAGACACCAGGAATCCTACCATCATGTAAAAAAAATTACAGATTTCCATTTCACAGTCACCTGGCAGGACGGTAGTACTTCCCTGGGCGGTTGCTGTCTACCAACCTCAGTGGTAGTGATGTGAACATAAAAAAAAAAAAACCTTAATAACACAGAAAAAGGCCAAAGGAAAAAGTAAAGTATCTTAAATGGCAAAAAAAAAAAAAAAAAGCTGCAAAGAGCATAATCTAAAAATGCTTTTAATGACTTGCAGGAAACAAAAAACACAACCAAATACAGTGGACCCTCCTTTTTCGTCGATCTCCGTTATCGCCAATTTCCGTTTTCGCTGTTTTTCTCCAGGCTGTTGTTTCTCGGTGAGTGAACATTTATCCCATGAGGTCATACGAAACATTTTGTAATAATCCACTGTTTTTGGCACTTGTTTATTGTGTGCGACTGTTAACCCTTTCAGGGTTGACAGGCCCTCTCACAAACTTGTTCTCAGGGTCGAAAAATATTTGAAAAAAAAAAAAATTATTTTTAATTATGAAATGGTATTTTTTTTTTGTGTGAGTATTACACGCAAAAAAAAAATTTTTTGCGATCAATACTTAAGGAGATATGGAGGCGTGAATTTGACAGAAATTGAACTGCATACGGCAACATCGCCGACTGTCGGTCACCCTGTAATAGTTTTAGTTTTTTCTACTTTTTTCTTTTATTTTTTAATATTTTATTTTTTCAAGTAACTTTTATGGCCTCTTAGACCAATATAAAGACTTTTTTGTATATATTTACTCATTGTATACTACACAATAACAGGACAAACTCTGCTGTCCCATTTATTGTTTTACAAAACAACGCTTAACACAAACCTACAAATAAAAAAATGTGTTTATTACCTATTTATTTTATATATACTACAACATACATTATATATATAATATAATATATATATATAATATATATATATATATATATATATATATAATATAAAATAATATATATATAAATATATAAATAATATATATATAAATATATATATATTGATATATAATATAATAAATATATATATATATATATATATATAATTATATAATAAATATATATATATATATATAATATATAAAATAAATATTATATATATATATTTATATATATATATATATAAATAAATATGATATAGTATATATATATATATATATATATAAAAATATATATATATAATATTATATAAAGATATAAATATATAATCTAGATATATATAATATATATAGTAATACAATATACAACATATACATACATTTACATATATATACATATATATACATATATATACATATAATACATATATATACATATATGAGTACAAATAAATACATATATATACATATAAATACATAAAATATACAATATATATACATAGATTATACAATATATACAAAAATATACATAAAAGATACATATATATTAACATATACTATATATACATATATATTAACATATATATATATACATATATATACATATATATATATATTAATACATATATATATATAAATATATTATATATAATATATATATATATATATATATATTAACCAATATATATATACATCACATATATATATATACAATATATATACCTATATATATATACCATATAATATATACATATATATATATACATTATATAATAAACATAAATATATACATATTATAATATACATATAATATATATAACCATATATAATATATACATATATATACATAGTATATATATACATATATTATATATTAACATATATATACATATATATATATATTACATATATATATACATATTTAAATATATATATAACATATATATACCTATATAAATATATACATATATATACATATATATACACATCTATATATATATATAATATATCATATATATACATATATATACATAATATACATATAAATACTATATATAACATATATATACAAATATATACATATATATATATACATATATATACTTATATATATATACAAATATAAATACAATATATAAACATTATATATAAACATATACATACATATATAAATTACATATATATACTATATATATACACATATATTATACATATATATATATACATAATATATACATATATATAAATACATATATTATATATACATATATATCATACATATATATATATATACATATATAAATACATAAATATTAAACATATATATATACTATATAATATATCATATATATATACATATATATATACATATATATACATATATATACATATATACAATACATATATATATATCATATATAACATATAAATACATATATAAATATACATATATATATATACATATATATAGTAATACATATATATACATATATATATATACATATATATATATTACCATATATTATACATATATAAAGTATGATACATATATTTATAACATATATATACATATATATATATACATATATATAATATAAATATATACATAATAAATACATATATATATATACATATAGAATATACATTATATATTAAATACATATATATATATACAAATAATATATACATATATATATATACATATATAGTACATATATATATAAACATATATATACATATATATAATAAACATATATAAACAAAATGATAACATATAAATACATATAATATATACATATATATACATATTTTTTTTTTTTTTTTTCAACAAGTCGGGCCGTTCTCCCACCGAGGCAGGGTGACCCAAAAAAAGAAAGAATATCCCCAACAAAGAAAAATACTTTCAACATCATTCAATCACTTTCACCACACTTTAAACTCGCTCATTATCACTGTTTTATGGCAGAGGTGGCTCAGAATACAACAGTCCAGAAAGGACATACACATATAAAAGACACACAACATTCCCTCCAAACCTGCCAATATCCCAAACCCCTCCTTAAAGTGCAGGGCATTGTAACTTGACTGTCCCCAATTGCCAGGAACACAAGTCCGACTATAGTGAAATAACATAAATACATAAAATAGGCATATATATACATAAATATACATAAATATACAAATATACATAATATATAAATACACATATATAACATATATATAAACAAACACAAATATAATATATTATAAATACACATATATACATAATATAAATACACATATATACATATATATAAATACACAAGTATACATAGATATATAGAAATATATATAGTATATATTATAGTACATATATATATATATATAAATATATAATCTATATATATATAATAATATATATTACAGTTGGACCCCCCGCATAGCGAAACTATTAATCCGTGCATGAGGGCTGGCTGTTATCGATAATGTTCGCTATGTGAATGAATTTTTCCCATAGACATAATGGAAAATCAATTTAATTCCGTGCAAGACACCAAAAGTTTGAAAAAAAAATTTTATACCACATGAATATACATTTTCCTACACACAAGAGAAGGATACACATGCACAATAGTAGAGTAGGTACATCAAATATATAATGTGCATGTACACTCTACAAAAATGAAGAATAAATGACACTTACCTTTATTGAAGATGAGCGTATGACTGATGAGACACTGTTCCGTGGAGTGCCCTTTTCCTCCTGAGTACTGTAGGTCCTGTTTGTATTTTCTTCCAACAGGCCTTATCACACTGTGTATGTCAACACGATTCTTAAATCTCTCAACCGAAAACCTTTGCTGGCTCTAAATTCACCAATATGACACTAGTTTCCAGGCATTTTCCTTCCCAGTTCACTCTGGGTGTTAGTCGACCTGGTGTGGGTTTCAATCCTGGAGAACAAGATTAAGGAGCCCCAATGTGAATAATTAGACAGATCCTTCGATACATTGACTTTTTTGGGCTATCCAGGGTGGCAAATCCTCTGGGTTAATTGTTTCCTTGGTAATTCTCAATAAGGCCACACCAACAAACTGCTACAGCAGCACAGCAGCAGCTGACGGTGGTGAAGCAGCAACAGTTATGCTACAGCAGCAGCAGACATGCTACAAGCATCAACTGTACGATGTTACACCAGCAGCAGACGATCTACAGCAGCAACTGACGATGTCTACAGCAGCAGCAGACGATGCTACAGGCAGCAAGCAGCAGCAGACGAAGCAACAAGCAGCAGGCAGCAGCAGCATGACGGTTGGGTAACAAGCAGCAACAGACCGATGCTACAGCAGCAATCAGACAGCTACCTGCAGCAGCAGACTGAAAGCTACAGCAGC